AGAGGAGGAGGAGGAGGGGGGGGGAGTGGATAAACCAGGACATTTGTTCCACCAGATGAAATTGTTAATCTGTTCTTTTCTGAGGAAGAATATCTTTAAAAACTTGATGGGCTCATTTTTTTTGCACATTTTTGTCTCTATTTCTTCTTTTTCCTTCTATATTTCTGTATCTTCTTTTCACTTCAAGTTTAGATAAACAGCTCATGCTATGTTGTTGGAAATTGGGTCAGCACTGGGCAACATTGTTTTGATCTAGATAAAATCCAAGTCCTATTGACATTTATAGTTCCATTTATATCAGTGTTTTTCCTAACTTGTCAACTTTTAGAAGTGTGGATTTCAACTTCCAAACTTTTCTAGCCAGCAGGTTAGCTGGAAAGTTCTAGGATTTGAAGTCTATGCATTTGCCAAGTTAGAAAAACAATGATTTAGATTATATTTTCCTTGTAGACATAAAGCTTTCTCTTAAAAATCCAATATTTTGGGATTGAAACAAAATAAAGAATACGAACAAAGATGTACTGGGGGCAAAGGATGAGGCAGAGATAGGTGGGGATGAAAAGAAAGAAAAATAAGAAGCAGAGTGTGAAAGAAAGGAAGATATAGAAGCAAGCAGAAGAATCCATGGATCAATCTACTACTTTCAGAGGTGTTCACTGCAGGAGCAAATAATGAAAGCAACATTGACTTTTGATGCAAGCTCTGCTCCTTCTCAGAATGCTATTGTTGTATGTCTTTAAGTGAAAGATGCAGACTATTGGTCTCTGGAATTACCCCGAGAAGATAGCCATGGCTTGTTGTAAATATGCTTATGGCTACATTTTTTCCACTGTTGTATAGACATTATCTGCATCCTGCTTTTTTACAATCAAAGATTGGGGACTAATGCAATTGGGAGAGGGTGTATCTATACCTCTGAAATCTAATGACTGGTCACCTTATGATGTGCCCATGGGTCTTGGCTTGTGGAAATCATAGGTTGGTTAAAAGATGAGACATACTTCTCTCCCCACTTCTTTCAGACAGACAGAGAAAATCTCTTTTAGAGCACAAATATTATTTTCAACCAGAAGATTCCCATTGGTTTTTTTTTTCCTTGGGGAGTATGTAAGACTACATGCTGAAATGAAGGAGGTAAAATGGACAGTCTTTCCTGAACTTGCTATTTCTAAATAGAACATAGAATAATAGGATTGAAGGGGCCTTGGAGGTCTTCCAGTATAGCCTCCTGCCTGTGGCAGGACACTATTCTGGAGAAATGCCTGTCCAGTCTCTTCTTAAAAATCTCCAATGATGGAGTACCCACAACTTCTGAAAGCAAGCCTTTCCACTGATTAATTGTTCTCACTGGTAGGATATTTGTCCTTAGTTCTAGGTTGGTTTTTCTCTTTAATGATATACCATCATTATTTCTTGTCCTGTTGTCAAATGCTTTGGGGCATAAGTTGAGTCCTTCTCTGTGGTAGCCCTCAAGTACTTGAAGATTGATATCATATCGCCCCTAGTCTTCTCTTTGTTGGACTAGACATAATTAGTTCCCTAAATCATTCGTCATATAGTTTATCTTCCAGACCTTATCATTTTTGTTGCTCTTTGCTCTGTTTCTAACATTTCAACTTCTTTTTTATATCATGGTGATCAGAATTGTATGCAGCATTCCACGTGTGGTCCAAGTGTGATCCACGTGTAGCATAAAGCAATACCATCACTTCACATGATCTTGAAATTATCCTTCTGTTGATGCAGAGCTTTTTTGACAGTTGTAGCACACTACTCACTCATACTTAAGTGGTGATCTACCAGGACACCTACATCTCTCTCTCAGTTGCTACTATTGAGCCAGGTACCACCCATTTCATATCTGCATTTGATTTTTCTCGCCTAAGTGTACGACTTTAGTTTTCTCACCCCTGAATTGTATTTTGTTGACTAGGACCCGGTATTCAAGTCTGTCAAGGTCTTTCTGAATCTTGAGTCTATCATTTGAAGTATTAGTTATTCCCCCTAGCTTCAAATGCAAATTTGATAAGTTCCTTTTCTATCCTCTCATCTAGAACATTGATGAAGATGTCAAAAAGCATTGGGCCTAAGACAGAACCTTGGGGGTACCCTGTTGCACACTTCCCTCAGTGTAGATGTAATTCCATTGAGGATCACCTGCTAAGTGCAGTTGGTCAGCTGTATATTTTAGTTGCTATACATACTGTTAGTACCCCAAATGAATGCTCAATGTAAAGTATTATAACATTAGAAAGTTTACAGACTGTAGTATTTGAGTAGAACCTGAGAACACTTTCAGCCAGGTGCCTGTAGAAAGCTCTCTAAGGCACACCTCTTTACCACCCCCTAGATTCTGTTAGAGAACCAGGCACGGAAAAGAACAAATATTTTCATACCATCTTCATTGTCCCTCCGGAAGTGAAGGCTTCTGAAATTAGGAAAGTTTTTCCTTTGAGAACTGATCCCTGAAGCAGCTACTCAATTTCCAGGGCTCTCCAGAAGTGTTGGGACTATAAACCTAGATTCTCTAGCATCACACTTCATTTTCCTAGGAGCATTTCTCCATTCCGTGAAAAGCTTATTAAGCATCTAGGCAATACATTTGAATGTGCCTAGCTAGGCATAAATTCTAGTAGTATCACTCCGTGTAAATACTTCCTTTAATCAATTAAAAGGTTTAAAATATTTATATTTCTAGCAATTGTAAGCCACAAGTATTTTAATGTTTGTTTAAAAATATCAAGTAGCACATGGTCTACATGTTGTGCACTAAACATAAAAGTACATTCTGAGATTAATGGAATTTACTTTTGTATGTAAGTATGAGAGTGAATCTTAAACAATTATTATTGCCATTCTTTTTTCACTTTCTGTAAATTTTTAAGTTAGTTTAACATAATTTTTCAATTAGTTTAGTATAACTTGTTCTCAAGGCTCAATTAATTTAGTATAACCTGTTCTCAAGGTTCAATGTAGTTTAGTAGATCCTGTTTTTTCATATAGGAAAAAAATACACTGTCCTAAAGTATGTATTATTAGTGATTCAAAAAGTAAAATGTAACTACTTCTGTATGACTTCAGATTATGTTTATTTAAACTCTTTACATGATTAATGGTCCCCTGGTGATGTCATAGTTCAAATCTGATATCTACTTATCAGATCCAGAACTGTAAGTTGAAAAGTTGTGTTCTGGACAGCTGTTTCAATAACAGTCACCCAAATCCATCAGAGAATAGGATGAATCAGAATGAATCAAATTAAAATGTATATACCGGTATACCCTGGATAGTGTTTGTGGTGTACATCTCATAGTTTGTGCAAAGGTTATATTTTTCTGTTATTTTTTCCTATACAGGCAAATATGTTTGTGTGAGAGAGGGGGGGGGGAGAGAGAGGGAGGGAGCAGTGGTGTGTTCCTACTGGTTTGGACCAGTTCAACTGAACGGTAGTAGCTTGGCGGCCTGGGTCGCTGGAACCAGCAGTGACTCAGGCCTGCTAGGCCCCTGAACTAGGTGCTGCCATCTTGTTTTTTTGCTTCTGCGCATGCGCAGAGCAATTTTAGTTGTACTGTGCATGCATGTACAGTGCACATCAAGTTGCATGTGCATCCCTGAGTGAACCAGCAGTAGTCTCTACCGGAACCCACACCTGGGAGGTAGGGGAAGGGAGAGAGAAAGACAGAGAGGGAGAGAATATAAATGTGTGTTTGTGTGTGTGTGTGGGGGTGTTAAATCCTCTCCTATTTCCTGCACCAAAATCCCAGATTGGAGCACAGGTGCCATTTTCAAATGCTTCCATAGACAAAGAAATATATGTTTCTCTCTTCTATCTCTCTCTATGCTTGCAGTTACTATAGTTGTTCAAAGGAAGATTCAGGAGAACACACACACAAAGTGTCTTTTTCTGTGTTTCTAGGTTCAGGTGAACACAAATAATTGGATACAGATTTTCTGTGTGTGTGTGTGTTCATAGGTCTCATGTTAGTGATATGCATCCTTTCCTTGCTCTGAAACAATGTGAATGATTTTGTGAAGACTGGCCTAGAAACCCAGGGAAAGAGGGCATAGCCAAACCTGATTCCTCTCTTGTAACTTCTTTTGCATGCTTAGAGCCCAGAAACTGATCTGTTTCTTTCAAATGTCAAATTCTTGGATACAAGCAAATAAGACAATAGCATCCTGACATTTGAAATGTCAGTCTGGCACAAACTACCACCACAACACTGTTTTTCATGACTTTTCATTACTCTCCTTGAGCTACGTGGAAATTTGTGTTCTTTTTTCCCCACAAGAAAAACCGAAGTTTAACTATCTTTTATCTTCCTTGTTTAATCCTTATTAGGTATGTAGAAATTTAATTCTCATTCATCATCACTCAGTATACTGAGCTTGCTGGCTGCCCCAGGTGGGAACTGTAGTGCAATGCTTTGAAGGATAGCAGGAAGACTGTCTGATCTGATCATCATCCTTCTTTTGTTCATATATCTTTGCCTGGATGCCATTACTTCTTTTTTCTTGCATAATTTATCGACAATCGGCTTTCTTCAGTATTTAGGCTGTAAGTTCTTTGGATCCGCTCTCTGATTTGCTGGGTACTAAAATCTAATTAAAAAGATTCACTGGCTGAAGTTTTAAATCCCCTCTGACTGGGGGAGGGGGGTATACTGCATAATTCTGGACTATTTACTCCGTTATCCAGCATTTTTAGTAAATTCAGGACAAATTTGTCTGAGCATGGAGCGCTAGGGCTTTGATACTATTTATACTAATGAATTCACATACATCCTGCCATATTTTCCTTCATGAATCATTACCAACTAATTCCTTGGTAAATTTGCTTTGCACAAAAAGAAGAAAAAATAGGGTGTTTTTTTTTTAAAGGCACCTTAGGTCTTATAATATTGAAATTCACACCCAATGGTTTGGCAAGCAAGTCTCCCCCTCCCCCTCACTATGCCCAAACTGAACAAAGAACCCAATTGTGTTGGAGCAGGGCTTACCTTCGCTCAGGAGGAGAGCTGCAATGGGCTGATCCGGGCAGGTGAGTGAGCTGCACAAAGTGACAGGAGGCAGAGAGCTGCCTGCTCCAAGGAGTTGCAACCGAGAAGCTCTGGGCTTCAAAAGCCCGGCGACTCATTTATAACTCACCTCAGTCAAGGGGACAGAGGGCAGAGCTTGGAGTCTGATTGGCTTGCAAGCAAGGCAGTTGCTAACAGCTCTATCCAGGCAAAGCCCAGGGGATAGGAAAAGGAGATAAGAAGGCACTAGAAGGACAGCTCCCTCCACCCCCAATTTCTCTATATGTCTCCCCTCCCTTTAGAATCAGGTTGTTTGATCCTTTTGACCTAGGTGGCCACTCTTAGACAATACATCACATTCAGAGTCCAGTGGGCTCGCCCCCCTCCCCAACATGACTCTGTTTCCAAAGTTGGGACTTTTGGGAGGGTTGCCAATTGAGGAATTGCTTTTGTTGACCTGTTCTATGGTTTCCTGATGGACTGGACAGTGTCTCCTGCCAGTCTATCTGTCTTCTTGATGGCCAATCTGCATCAGTCAAGGACAATGGGATTCATTGTGCTATCTACTGAACTCCCACAAGTCGGGCTTTGAAGATGGGATGTCCAGGGGAAAGCACTTCCTTTCTTGCTTCCAGGTTTTATTTTAGAAAAGAATGACATAAAAGAGGTGGAATGAAAGCAAAGGAAAGACCTCCTCAAAAGTGGCAATTGATTCTGAAGTCCCTAAATTGAAGGAAGAGACTGATATTGAGCAGTTTTAGTTCTCCCACTTCCACACTGGTACAGATGTATACACATAGATGCACAAGCATACAAATCCAACAAGGCTACAGTTTTAAACAAGCTCATTAGAATAGCATTCCAAAATAGAAATATATCATCCTTATTTGTATGTCTGTCAGGGTCCTTAAAAAATAATTTTAAAGAAATGTACTATGACTAGATTTCAGTTTCTGTTGGGAAAGCTAATGTCATAGTTAATAGGTAAAGGTAAAAGTTCTCCTCGCACATATGTCATATTCATATGTCATATTCATATGTCATATTCATATTCATAGACATATTCATAACATATTCATAGACACTAGCGCTAATGTTAGGAGATGATGGAAATTGCAGTAAAAAAGCATTTGCAGGGCTGCCCTTTTCTTACCTCTGCTTTTTACTTCAAAATGATTATAGTGGCATTTTCCTGAGAGAAATAAAAAAGCAGTGATCTGTTCACTTTCCACACAAGGACAGTTCTTCAGATAGTAACACAAGGAAGATTGCATACCTAAAGCTGGATTTTGGTGAAGTTTGGCTGGTGGGTGCAAAGAAGGAGCATCACAGGTTAGTGATTAGTGAATGGTTAGGATTAGCAGACTGTATAATGATTTGACATTGATTCTGTAAGCTCAGATGCCAATATTGGGAGCTAAGCTACAATCCAGTCAGCACTCCATGTCCTATAAATATTGGCAGAGATGTTTACAGCAATACTCTGCTTTGTTGTTTTGATATGCAGCTGCTGAGAAAGAGCAGGGGAAGGAGAAGAATTGGAAGCAGAAACAGAAAGGTAAAGCAGGAAGAGAAAAAGATGGAGATGCAATTGACAAGTTCCCAAGAATTTACATTTAACCCTGGGAAATTAATTTTGATATATGGGTTTGTTTTTTAAAAAATGAGGAGTGCAAGAGTGTCAGTAATTTTTCATCTGTAAGTATAATTAATATTACAAACTTATCTCAGTGCCCAGAAATCATACTTGTTTGGTTTATCAATGAAAGCAGAAGTCTGATTAATTGTTTCCAGAGAGATAAGAGGAAATAGGTGCACACTTGTTCCCCTGTAAATATAATTAATTATCTGTATCACCTGAGGTTACAGGGTAGCTAAATATGAAACTACAGAAATCCCAGAAAAAGAATAACATACCTGTAATGTCTTTCTTGCTCTCATGTCCTTGAGAGGTGGTGGAACTCCATTGCTCAAACTTCTCTGCCAATATGGTCAAAGTCTGTTTCAGATTCTGGAATATGCATTCCATTATACATCTCAAGAATACCAGATTTAAGGTGGTTGCTTTGTAAGATCCTTAGCTCCATATCTGTCTACTATATTCAGGCATAGATTAGAACTCTTAATGGTATCTTCACAACATCACTGTGAAGATGGGATGGAAGAAAGTGATCTCAGAACCATAATTATTTGACCCATAAATATATGACTCTTTTCTCTTTCCTCAAAACATACATAATGAATAGTGAATGTATGATGATATAGTGATGACTGCTTACTAAAAAAAACCTACTATACATGTCTACAGCCCGTGGCTATATATAGTTGCCAAATAGAATGATCCTATGCTTCTGAGCTAGTGGACGATTATCATCTTTGAACTCCTAGACCTAGATGTTTCTATGTGACTACTATAAGATGCTGGACTGTATGTCATGAGCAATGAATTCACCACACTTGCTTTCTAATAATTTACTTTTGAATAACATTTAATATCATGGGATTCAGGGGATTTAAGGTTAAATTTTGCAATACAGTATTATAGAACAGAAACAAACATTATTTAGAGATTTACTAATTGTGTAAAGATTATTCCTTCTAATGCTCTCATAGCAAATACTCAGAACATTGGAAGGTTGTTATCCCTTTCCTCTTCTCTTGGTTGTTACCTGGTAGAATGGAAACTACTACTGGTAGTAGTACATACTACAAATTACTATTACATTAACCAAATCTTGTACACATATACAATGAGTGTGCATTCCTGTCATTGAAATTTGGCATTATACTTCTGCAGAGTTTAAAAGTTGGGTTACAACTTTATGATATGTATAATATAACAGCATATTTAATAATTCCTATGAAATGGAATCTGATATGAATAAATATACATGTATATTTATTTATTTAACTTATTTATCTTTGGTAAAGGCGTTACCTTTAACTTTAGTTTGGTTTTCTGGAGCTTTCCTTGGTATGTGCACGCAGCTGGTTTTTTTGGGTGGTTCCATGTTCTTTGAAAACCAAGGAAATTGTGGGAATGATCCATAGGAACTTCAATCAGATGGCAAACATTAAAAAATGCATCTTTTTATTGCCAGCTAGTGCATATATACAGTAGAGGTTTGTAGCCAGATCTGTAATCACTAATCAATCTCATGCACTTTCTCCAAATGTAAAGGAGGAATATTTTCTTCAGCTACAGGGTGCCATCTGGAAGGATAGTGATTGCAAGAGTGTTAAAGGGAAATTATGACAAGAAATGCATTCTGTTTATTATCCCTACTGCTGTGTCCACATTAGTACGCTATCGTAAATCAACTCTTATTTATTGTTCATTTATTGTACATGAGTATCTTGTCTTGCAATGCTTGCTCTCCATAGATGGTGGCTTATATATGCTTAAACATAACATTTGAAGCTGAAGCATTATTACCATTTCTACAGTGCAATAACAGACATTTGAAACCAAAATGACGCAAAGGTCCTGCATCTTGAATAATTGTCAGCAAGGCTATTTCAATAGGTATAGCCTGTTGACAATGTATACTGTATGAAATTATGAAAGATGTAGGAAGTTTGTCCCTATCAATCAGTAGTTCCTGTAACAGATAACTCTTTATAATGCCCTGGACAGAACCAGCTGAGAGACATCAAAGGTGGGAGAGCTTCACTGGTTGGGTTCATTTGGTTAATCATAATTATTGAATAAGCTAACATTGGCTAAGTTCATGCAATATGCGAAGGCACAAACCACATCTTGGCTTAGCATAGGGATGAACCCAGTCCTTACTTCTGACTCTTGCTTCGAAGAGAAGATCTAAGTTGAGTCAATCTTCCTCAAGATGGAAGTTTAGCATTGCTTTGTTTCTTTTCTAGATGGGGGAGTTTGAAGAGAGCGAGTTCTATATCCAGAGGTATTTACTTATTGCTCTGCTGATAACTTATTCAAGGAAGTTTGAGAAAGAGGAAATAAATTTATCCTGTTCTAGACCTTTGTGTACCCTAGAATGTACATACATATAAAATATAATTGTTTTTCACACACCATGATAACATTATCAAAATAGAGGATTTATTTCTAGACATTATTAGTGAATTTATGGCTCTTCATTGGATAATATCTTAGGGTGGATGAACTTATTATAACAACCTTCATGAACCCAACTTAGAATGGCAACTTTTTTTATTTGAAATGTTGAAGTTTTAAGGGGTACAAGCTTGACAAATGACATTAAGCTTTCACTAAAACCATAGCAGTCCAATTCTTGAACTATAGAAAAGTCAATAGGACTTAGTCCCAGTTTAACCTCTATAGATTTGTAGTAATTACAATTAAAGTGCATTAATTCCCTCATTGGGATTTGCCATCTTACGGTTGAGGTTCTAACTTAACATAATGTGCTCTAATCACTAAGAAAAAGTTCTGCATATAAATTCTTTATAATATTCTCACTATAATTATGTTTCTATATGGAATTTTCGATTTTGAACAGACTGGGGCAATCAGCAATACTCCTAGAGTAAATGCCTCCATTAGTCAAATGAGTTTCATTGTCTGGAACAAAGCAGTTTTGAAGGACTTGGCCAGAAATGTTACTCAGGAGAGAAACAGGTCCTTTGCTTCTTTTAGGTGAAATAATCCGTATTGAAATTTTAGCTCCCAAGTTGCCTTATGTTATATTTTTAGACCAACTAAATCCCCTTGTGTTCACTTGAATACTTGTCTGAGCTAACATAGGGAGGAAGAATTTTATCCAGGCAGGAATGAGGAACCGAAATTAGAGAGAAAAGGGAGAAGGGGTGGGGGAACAGAGGAGGGCTTGGGAGAAAAATTGAAAGAAGCAACCAGAGTTTTTGGCCCACACAGAAAAAAGACTTGAAAGCTCTCTTGTGTTTCTATTCACGAAGAATATATCTGGGTACTGTTTTTTATTTATGATATTGCCTTGCTTCATAGGGAGACCGTGACTTATTTTATTTTATTTATTTATTTATTTATTTATTTATTTATTTATTTATTAGTTTGTCAAACATGTACAGGATAGCAGGTATAAGTATAAACATGGACATGAACAAAGGAAATGA